AATCACCCCAAGGGAGAGTTCGGGTGGTCTCTTGGACAAATCACCCACTAGATAGGCAAAATAGGGTCTGCGCGCAAGACCAAAGGCAAGGGAAGATCAGGGGTTCCTGCCGTGGAACGACCCGTGACGCGATCCTACGCTCGGGACCATAACACCAAACCTCCTTGGTTGTATCCAAGAACATAAAATTCACACGAATTTTGGGTTCCATGCTATTCCACAACCAAATCATAATCTATGCATCCTATTATTCCCACTCACTATATCCATGAGATTCAGATGAGGGTTTCTCCTCCTTCACATGTTTTACCTTCTTCTTGGCTCTTAGAAACACTTCCACCAACCTAGCCCATGGCACATAATTCTCATCATTTAATTTGATGGATGTCATCTATACATTTAGGTAATCGGGAGAAATCATAACACCAGTTTTATGATCACTACCCTCTCCAATTGTTGTCATTGTAAAAAGTAATAATAATAATAATAATAATAATCACCAAGATTACCCTTCACTATTCAGCACTCACAACACGACACACCACACCACAATTAATTAACTGTTGATGAAACACTTACTGTCATAGAGCTCAGCACCAAAACCCTATTGCTGTCACATACATTCAGACATAAATAGGAAGGAAAAATAGTCACTACACATAACCACCAATCAGCACTACCACAGAATTGAAATCCAATCCGAAAGTGGAAGAAACACCATGCTATCAGCCGACTATAGAATTCTGTTTGCACCTGTCCACGAACCAACCCTCTTTGAGTCATCGAGTAGAGGGTTTCTAGAAAACCACTGAAACGGAACACCACAACAACTGAAAGCATGATTACCTCCTAGAAGGAAAAACGGTCAGTCCTTTTTGGCCTCTTATTGATCCTCCAATTGGTTGATGAGATATCTCAAAATTTCAGATTTGATGTGGCGATGCAAGGAGAAGAAATAGGAAGAGAAAAAAAACTAATTTCTAAACTGGTTTCCAGTGCTCTAATACCATGTTAATAGTTTGATTTCAGTTTTAGTTCTGAAGTAAGAAAGAATGAGAGAAGGAGAAGAGAAAAAAGAGAGGAGAGAAATCAAGAGTTTGGCCAGAGAGAAAAAGAGCACTCTCTCTCAGGATTCAGGTCAATGCAGTGGCTGAGCAACTCAAAAGTCAGGATTCAGGTCCTTTCTCTCACATCCTTAGAGATGTAAATGCAGTGGCTGATGGTTTGGCAAATGTGGCATGTAATAGCTCTCAGAGTATTCTTTTTTATTCCAAGAGTTCTCTTCCACGTTCAGTTCAATTTTTTATGTTTGATGATGCTTTATTTCTCCCTAAACTTTGTCGTAAATAGGTTTCGAGGTTTTTATTTTGAGTGCACTGTGCATATTGTTTTTGGGTTTTGGGCAAGGCAGGCTAAATCCACCCCTGTAATTTTTTGCATATAGTGGTTTCATTAATAAAATTTTAAGGTGGCGACCCCTCCACCTGGAGTAAATTTTGGGGACTCAAATAAGAAAAATAAAAGGTATGCACATGCCCCTACCCTACCCCCTCCTACTGCCCCAAAAACAAAGACCAACCTAATATTTCTTATGAAACATTTCTTTCTAGTTTCATGTGTATAAATATGACAAATAGTTGCAATGCTAACATTGCTAGCAAGCATTCTTTTACAAAATTCAAATGTAACAGGACTCCTTGGGGAAACTCCTCGACTCCCTGAAACTACTATTAAAAATGCAAGAAGGATGCAACAAAGAAAATTGTATTATTGACAAAATAGAGTATGGAGAATGAAGAACTGATATTGAAAATTATGACAAATACATCAAATTCAGATTCATCCAGTGAACCATAAGCTACCTGATTATATCTAATTCTTTACAGCGTTCACTTTTAAAATTGTTCTCAAAAACAGTAATTATTTAAAAGTAATTGTTTATTGTTTAAAATAAGTTTTATTTAAAAGTAATTGTTCTCAAGCAGCGAGCCAAATTTTGGAGTTAAATTTTGATGCCTGCTCCTAAAGAAATTTAACCATCAGAGGATAGAGATGCAATTAGGGATGAGACAGGAAATGTCATATCATATTCTAGCCCTGATTGGTAACAGTGGCTATTAGAGCTAAGATAAAAGCATCAATCCAAGATCTCATGTATATGGTGCTCATGGGTGTTGAGAAGGTTGAAGTAGAAATGGATTCACAGATGACCGGCAGGTACAATCTGAACTATACTTCTTGCCTGAACCTAGATGCACTATATACTCGTTGCCATGTTTCGAAGAATTAACCTTGAGTTTCATCTTTGAATAAGTAACTTACTGTGAATTATCAAAAAAAAATAACTTACTATGTTATACGCTGTAACCATGACATTTACAGTTTAAACAGTATAGCATTAGTCAATGGGCATTTTGAATAAGTAACTTACTATGAATCATCAAAACAGTTTATGGGCATAATACTTCTCTCAATGAGTAGGCCCAGCCCAACCAATTTTCAGCCCTAGCATTAGTCAATGGTATTTTGCACAGTGAAATGCAAACCAATAAATAAAAGAAAAACGCAAAGAAATATAGAGTCTATAACATGCCTGAAGAGTTCGTGATGTCTCATCAATTATCTTAACTGAATCATCTGATAGATATTTCATTAACATCCTTATAAGGCTAAGAAGAATTTCATCTGAAATGCAACTGTTGGTATAAAAGCCAACATTCACAGAACTGCCGTCATTAATTGCCTGGAACAGAGGAACTTGGCTAGAATCTCCTGGCAAGCGAAAAACAACAAAATGTGGATCCCCAAGACCAACCTGCGAAGTTTAAGTAAAAACAAAAGAACAGAATATTCCTGAGCATGGAAATGTTTACAAATAGCATACAGTAGCACATAAACAATAAAAAGAAAATTTGTGTAAAGGACAATTTACCCTAGAAATGAAGTCAGACACCAATGCTCTAACATCTTTTCCGTCAATTGGACCACATAGGGAGACTAGCCTCCAGACAGCAGATATAACTTCAGGTTCAGTATGCCAATAATTAATCTGCTTGTGAATTTCTGCAGCATCATTTTCAGCCTGAATAACCTCCCCCAAGACTAATCTTCTGTGTAATGTTTGAAGACTGGAGGAAATCCTCAAAATAAAGGATGATAACTCAGATTATATGTAATCATTTTAATGAAGCAATAAATACAGAAATTTATGTACAGTGAAAGAAAGGGTAGCACCTCCACAAAAGCAATCTTGGCGAAAGGTAAGAAGCTCTCCTTACAAACTTTAAATCACAACACAGTATATGCAAGTTAGAGATCAATGGAAACATCAAGACAAAACGTGAAAATTATATTATTAAAAAAAACACATATATCTCAAATCTCCATGGCCATTTACCTTCAAAAAGTGATCCTTAGGAGAGTAGGCTTTGCAGAGATCCTGATGAAACTTCCATATCCGGTCAAAGCAATCAATTTGAGGGAAGGGTTCCAATTCCTAATAAATGGAGTAGCAGAAGATCAAAGGAGATAAATAAACAACTTCAACAAAGAAAATCGCCATCATCTGTTGTTTAACAGTAGAATCATACTCTGATGTAATCATGTAGAGATGGATCAGATTCCAGAATTAGCTGGTGAAGTAAAGATACAACTTGAGAAGATTGACTGCCAATTGGTTCAGTATTTTGAACAGGAATACAACAGGAAACCAACTTTGATACTAAAAACTGCAACATATACCTCAAATACATTAGAAGATAAAACAGGGTGAAATTTTTGGTCAAGACAAATGTAAGATAGAAGCAAGATGATCAAAACAAAAACCTGGAGTTGTTCACCTAGTACACCAATGACATCATGGTTGGGGTTACATTTAAATGCTTTAAGTAATGTTGATAAAATAAGGCAACATTGATTTTGTAAAGCTTGAAACCCAATATATTTCCCAATTAGATTGAAAAGATACCTGCAATGATCCTCAATATTAATTCTGAGACCAGAAGAAATCAAAATCCAATGTTGCATATCAAGATTATGTAAAACAAAATTAGGAAGTGAGCAGAATATCAAACTAATTGAGCCGACACAAGTAAATAGAGCCTTATCACATCCATATGGGGTAATTTCACCCCATATCATTGAATTCATTCAATGAAAATATATGATACCGGAAAGACATGGTACAGGAAGAGCTTTGACCAATCAAAGTGCCCCATGAATTTTGATGAATACCACCTGATTGGTCACATCTTTTATGATATCAATCGATTGGCTGTAAGCTTTTCCAGTATCATGTCTTTCCTATATCATAGTTGAACCCATTCATTTAAAACCAAAGCTCAATCCACAAATAATGAGCACATATCCCTATTTCCATGAGGTATTGACAAGTAATAAAGAATCTTTATTTTGTGACTTCCATTTTCCCCAAAAACTATAAATGGTGTCATATACCACAGATTCAATCCCTTACTTCGACAAAGGAATCAAGTCCTACAACACACCAGGAAATTTTTGTCAAAGTAATAAGTAAACAGCAATCTGAACCTAATTACATGACCAAAGGACCCTCACTCTACCATAAACACAGGTTAGTGCTACCAGCCAACTCAGTCCATATAGGCCCACTGTTAGATTACTTTCATGCTTCACCCATAGGGGGCCATTCAGGGGTGCTCCGACGTACAAACGTGTTGCATCTCAGTTCTATTAGAAGAGAATGATAAGGACTATACGGAAGTACACTGCCAACTGCAAGACTTGTCAACGATGCAAATACGAGGCCCAATCTCCAGCAGGCCCACTCCAGCCACTTCTAATTCCCACCCAAATTTGGGAAGACATATCTATGGATTTCATTACCGGGCTTCCACTTTCGCAGCTAAATCAGTGATTTCGGTAGTGGTAGTCCTCTCACAAAGTAGTCATTTCTGGCATTAGCACATTCATTCACAGCATCAGCCGTGGATGATGTCTTTGTATGGGAAATAGCTCACCTCTATGGATTTCCCAAATCAATTTTGTCGGATAGAGATCCTGTTTTCCTTAGTACATTTTGGAGAGAACTATTTCGGGTACAGGGAGTTCAGCTAAGGAAATCAACTAGCTACCATCCTCAATCAGATGGACAAACAGAGGTAGTCAACAGATGCTTGGAGACATACCTGGCTACCTGCGTCGTTTTTCAGATTCCAAACCCAAACGTTCGGCCCAATGGCTCCACTGGGCTGAATGGTGGTATAATACCACCTATCATGTGGCTGCTGGGATGACACCCTTCCATGCCTTATATGGTCGAGATCCCCCCATCTTACTACCCTACGAAAAGGGTTCCTCTCCAGTTGCATCATTTGAAGAAGCAACTGACCCAACAGGATGCTACTCTACAAGAGCTCAAACATAACTTGAACCAAGCACAACAATGGATGAAACACACATATGACAAGCACCACCAGAAAGTGGAGTATAAAGTGTGTAACTTTGTATATTTGAAATTACTCCCCTACTGCTCACTATCAGTAAGGTACCAATGCTGGAATAAGCTGTCTCCACACTACTTTGGGCCCTTCAAGATCATCGAAAGGATAGGCAAGCTTGCCTACTGCTTGGAGATACCTGAACACTCTAAAATTCATCCTGTCTTCCACATTTCAGTTCTGAAGAAATGCCTCAAGCCAGATGTGGTAAGTTAGCCCACTCTACCCAAGTTTACTGAAGACATGGCATTAGTCACAGAACCACAGTCCATTGATTTTTGTTGGGTAAAGAAAGGACATCATGTGGAACCGGAAGATCTGGTAGAGTAGAATAAGCTGTACTGAACCCAGGCCGGTGTATGGAAATAGCCAGCCCAAACTCAAGACCTACAAAAGAAGAACTTCACGTCAGCTCTTAGACACAACTAAACTTCCAAAACTACCCATTCTCAATTGAGGGTAGAACTAACTCTCTGAAGAAGTAAGAACAAGAAAAGACACCGAGGAAGAAGGGGTCCAAATCCTACTATCCCTCCTAGAGAGATCTAGAACCACCTCCTCAAGGATTTTAAGTAAATCAGAAACATTGTTCAATTCCAAGTCTCTAAGTGCCCTTTTAAAACCCAAGTTCCCATCCAGAGTAGAAATCAAGTTAGAATGGGCTAGGAAGGTGGAAACAAGCTCATTTTTAAACCTGGAGAGGGAATACAGAGAAGGGAATTGCCCTTTTAGAAGTATGTTTCCCACCCAAACATGCTCCCAAAACTTCACATGGTTTCCCAGCAAAGATCATACCTGATGAGGGTAAGGAAGGATAAAAGAATTGCATGAATAGATTCCCAAGGAGAAGCTCCCATAGCCCTAGTTGATACTCCTGCAACCCAACCTTCAACTGCTGGTCCATGTATACTTAAGATTACTTTAGCCCATAGTATATCCCTTTCCATTGTCAATCTCCATAACCATTTCCCAAAAAAATCTGCCTTGCGTTTGGGCAGTATGGAAAATCACTTCAGGAACAGGAATAACAGAAAGAGGTGGCTTCTAGGGCCTATCAAGCCAATGTTGAAAAGACATGGAGTAATAAAGAGGGTCTCGATTGAGGCTAGAAAAGGAAAGAAAGAGAGGTGGATTTGGGTAATAGCCAAGTTTGACAAAAGTGCTAAGAAGAGGATCATTGGTGGTTCAAAAAAGCTGCTCAATGACAGTCCATCTCCTATGAATGGCAATGCTGGCCTTCTATCTCTAGTCAGTAGGGGGCCTGATGGGAATTGTGTATCCCCAGAGCTCGGGGGAATAAGTAAGACACCTCTATAGATCAGCTGCAATTATGGAAGCTCAGTGAGGCTGAGGGAAAGGCTCGGGAAAGGATTGTTAGCACCGGAGTTGAGCTAGAAATTGAGGGCGAGGTTGAGGGAAAGGAAACTTCTTGCGTTGATGAGCTCACTGGAGGAAGGGCTCAAAGACAAGTTGAAGAAGGTCTGCGTTATGAGGAGGTTGAGGTCGGAAGGTTGGGTGTAGATTTGGGTCGAAGGAGTAATCATGAAGAGAAGGAGGAGGATCAAACTAATAGGATAATCAGCAAGATACTGAGCAACTCGAGATCTCACAATATAATTCATGTGACAAAGATCTTTTCAAGGCTAAAACTTGGCTTGGCAGAGGCAGGAGCTAGAAAATATTTAAATGGGTGTAGAGAAGAAAAAGATTGAGAGGCAACAGGACTCCTGACTCTGACCATACGAGGGTAACTGTGCAAGTTCAGTCACCGGCTACCCTTATGTTGAAACATTAGGAGGACAAGAGGAGTGGTGACGTTTCTGATTCTAGTGTGATCCAGCCACAATAGAATATTGATGTAGTTGAAGAAGAATAAAGAGGCATGACTTTACAGAAATTAGTTGATAGAGAAGTTATGATTGGGAAAAGCTTGGGCCTGTTTTTTTGGGGTGGTGAGGAATTCGCAAGGAAGGCATTTGAGGAGAGTTTGAAAGAAGAAAAAAGGAAGAGAAAGAGAAAAACAAATCTCTTTCGCAATGGAAAGGACAATGGGACAAGGATTTCTCAACCCAACAAGACATGCTCACAGATGAAGACCGATGTGGGCTTCAGGATAGGGATCTTTGCTTTTGTTTAGTGTTGGGCTAGTGGCCCTTGTTTTATAAGGATATGGGTTGTGTTTGTGTTTTCACTTTTCTTTTGGGTGTTTGGGCAATGCTCATGGTTGTAAGTTGTAGTTGTATTGGCCTTATTGGGTCTCCTTGTCAACAAACCCAGAGCAGAATACAGAATTCTGGGGATGAAGAATGGATGATTCAACCCTACCCCAAGGGTCCTTTATATAGAAAGTAAAATTAAAGATATTACAGAGAGGCCCTTGTAGGGCAACACTATTTAGAGAATTTACAGAGAGGCCCTTGCAGGGCTGAAGTGAAAATAATAATAAATAAGAGAAAACAATACAATAAGGACTACAATAAAATGGTACATCAGGGAGTTTCTTCACACTCCTGAGTTGGCTCTCATGCTTTTGGTGATATCTCATCAACTTCTGTTGTACTTCTCCTTTTAATTTTAATGAATTTTCTCTTTATCCTTCAAAAAAAATAAATAAATAAAGCCTTGTTCTTCTTTTGTAAGTTTCCCAATCCTAACCCACCATCACCCTTGGTTTTAGTAATTACCTCCCACATAACTATGTAATCTCTCTTCTCCTCCCCTGGTTCCCATAGGAAACCCCTCATTAATTTCTCCAAACTCCTATACACTCCCTCAGGAATCTTAAACACCAACAAAAAATATACAAGCAAATTAGCCAAAGTCAATTTAATCAATGTAATCCTTCCACCTAGGGATAGGTAGTTCTTCCATGAAGCTAATCTCTTGGTGAATCTATTAACAACTGGGTTCCAAAGGCTCCTTTTACTCAGATTATCCCCTAGGGGTAGCCCCAAATAATTCAACGGCCACTGATGCACAACCCAAAATTTGAGCCCTTTCACCCACTTCTCTATCACTCAAGTTGATTCCAACCATACAGCTCTTATCAAAATTGACTTTAAGATTAGACATTCGTTCAAACACATTAATCACCAATTTCAAGTTACTAACCCAATTGATCTCCTCCCCTCCACAGATCAAGATGGTATCGTCTGCAAACTATAAGTGGGTAACTAGAATCCTATCCCTTCCTACTCTCCACCCTCTCACCAAGCTCCTAGAGTCGGCCCTCTCTATTGGCCTTCTTTGGTATAAAGGTATACCAAGACCACAGCATGTTTCCAGTACCAAAGTAATAGATGTCCACAACTACAAAATATGAAATTCTAATGTATATTCTGCAATCATTTAAACTGCACCAAAACTAGAATGAACTCACAGGGAAGTGCTTGGAACTGCAGCTCTATGTCCAATAACATGGACAAGCACATCAACTCCAGACAGGCGATCACACCGATGTCTATGATGAACTGCAGCCTCAATTTTGTAATGCATTTCTACAATAAACTGCAAAACCACAAGCAACCAACCACAGTAAATGCTTGATAGGTATTATCATTATATAGGAATGTCAAAAAGGTTTTAACCCAAGGAAATGATACATCACCACAAAAACTCTATCAGGACGAAAGACATTGATTTTGTCAACAACACAAACATTTCTTGGACAATAGTCCCTGTTGGGATTCAAGGGAAAAAAATAACATTTGAAAATGAGAAAATGACAAATTCAGCAAAATAAATCAAAGAGAATAAAAATAAAAGCCACAGTACATCTCCAAAAATCCATCAACTACTGCCTGAATAGCAAATACAATTGTTTCCTTGGAAAAGAATGGGACTGCAGGATCTGAAGCTGAAGAGGCAAGTGAGAAGAGCAAGCTGACAATTGAAACCTGCAAACCACATAAGAAAGATTAACTGATCAAAAGAACAGGAACAATATGAATCAAAATCCTGCTTTATTGGTATCACCAGGGAACCAGATCTCCTCCACAAAGATCTGATCATTAGTGTGGAAAGCAAATCAGGAATGTCCTATTCTGAGTTAACTTGGGATTGTCCCAGACCAGGGTTGTTGTTGTAATCACATTCATAAAACATCCAATATTCCATTACTGATAAGCGTAAGGCTGTTTGTATTTTTGTCTGATCTGTATGGTCAGCAATTTTTTCTTGATAATGAACAAAACTCAGTACTGTTAATTATGGAAAAAGAAAACATGAAAAGCTGATCTCAGAGACAGCAGCAGAATTGACAGTGCTGATGACATTTAAGTCTTGTGCATGTGATCTTTTTTTTTTTTGATAATTTTGTGCATGTGATCATTAAAATAGTATTTTGGTCATTCTACATAATGTTAAGCATCCACTCTGGTAGTTGTGTTATTTGGGTTTTACTTTAGTTGTGTTTAAAGTTTCAGAGTCACAAGGTAATATTACTGGAACTGACAAATTCTCCAATGAAATCCACCAGTGCTTTGTGGAATACAAGAGATTGTATCAAAACATAAGTCGGCAAGAATATTTTAGATATGTGGAGTAGCAATTTTATCTGAGTGTTATTCATAAAAAAAAATGTTATCTGAGTATTCAAGGATTGAACACCATTAAAAGTCAGAATGGCACCCACAAGCCCGACTGTTCAAAGGTCTAGTTGGCACCCATAAGCCCAACTGTTCTGAGGTCTTGTCCAGACGTTTTTGGCGGAAACTCTTGAGAGGTGTGCCTGCGGAGAGGACATAGGCCTAGGTTTGGCCGAACCTCTATAAATCCTTGTATATGCTTTTATTGTTTTGCAGTTAATGTTTGTTTTTGTAGAAACTCACTTCATACTGCTTTTGTTTATCACACAAACGCTTCACACTATATTTCTCTCTAATTATCTTTGTTTAGCACAATAAGTTTTTGAAAAGGTATTAGGGGAGGAAAATTTTGTAGAACACAATTGACCCCCCCCCCCCTCTCTTGGTTTAGGCTACCTGAGCTATCAATAACTTTTCTAAAATAATCCAACACAAGATTATTTGGTTCCAAGAAAACAAGATTATTTGTGTAGGTAGCGACACAAGATTATCTCTGATATTAGGAATGCTTGTTTGAGATACCTTTGTCAAAGTGGTGCTGTGGACTTGAAGGAGGTGATTCAGGTTCAGGATGAAAGAGGCGGTAACGAGCTCAACTGAAGGAACATTTGATCAACTAAAGCTTCTAAACAAATGCTTGGTTGGTCATCTAGTCAACTCTGAAACAGATATTGAAGTAGTTTGGAGCTGGGTGGTGACTGAATGGAAGCCAAGCAGGCATTTCCAGGTGAGAAGACTCGGCGCGGGGTTCTTTCTTTTCTCCTTCAGTAGTGAGACAGAACCTATGGATATTCTTCAACATGAACAGGATCAAGTCTGGGATCCAGAATTAAGATTAGGGAGGTGGAATCCTCTCGTCGATGCACAGAGAAATGTGGGGCCTTGCCTTCAAGCTTCATCTGGATTAATATTTTTGGAATTCCTCTCCATGCCTGGAGTTTCCAAACTTTCAGCGATGTTGGGAATGCATGTGGGATTTTTAGATTCATCGATTCAAGAACTTTGGATTGGAAGAATTTAGTGAGTGTGAATATATTAATTGAGGTGGAGGAAATTCATCTTGTTCCAGCATCCCTATTGCTTCACTTTGGCAGAGAGCTATTCAATTTAAGAGTGGTAATAGAAGCAACATACACAGGCGGTTGGCTTGATTTCATTTTCTCAAGGAGGAAGTGATTTGCAACCTCCATCTGGTTCAAAGAGGTGGAAGTCGAACAGGCTATTCTCAAAGGTAGGTTCAGAGGTTGAAAATGAGGGTAGTTTGGGAACAAAAAAATGTATCGATTTTAGTGGGCTTGGCACGCTGGGTCTGGTGGACTTTCGAGACTTGGAAAAGGAAAGAGTAATGATTTGGGGGAGAGCTCGAAAAAGGAAGATGGGAGCGGGGCCCATGCGGAGTCAGTTGCTGGGGGAGATTAAAAGTGTCCAAAACTGCATTTACAAGGGGTGTCCTGCGATGGGGAAGGAAATGCCACAGGGGCCCACTTTTCAAAGTCTTTATCTAATCTTGCGAGAAGACCCCTTGTTCCATTCAAAGTAGGAATTAATAGAAGGAATGTAACTCCTTTTGAACTCTCAGTTAAAGGAAGACAACCGAGTAGCTTCATATTGAACAAGTCTCGAAAGCAAAAAAAAAAGTCAGACTCCATAAGAGGACAAAGCAGAAGGTTTTTGAGAGAGTAGCAAACGAGAGAACTTCTCTTGACGTGACCCAAAGCCCTGGCTACAGTGAAGTTGTTCCTGGTAGTTGCAACCAAAACAGGGGAAAATCAGTGGAGGACTTAGAAGCTGTAACTCCAGTGAGGAACTTTGATGCATTTCGAAGTTCTGGGAACAGCGTGGACGACTCTGGTTGTTGCACTCAAAGCAGTAAAGAGTTGGTAGAAGATCTCAAAAATGCATTTCCAAAACAGACCTTCAGTTCAACGACTAAGGCCCATTTTTTGACTAAAAAAAATGAAGTCAAGACCAATGTAGATGGGAGATACACAAAGAAGTGAAAATTGGCATGACAGAGAAGAAAAACGATATGAGTGGGTCTACTCCTGCCACCTTAGAAGGACACATTGCTGGAGATGGAGGAAGTGAAAAATGTCGGTGAGGAAATTTGTTCACCTTCCTAGATCGAAGACAATGCTTCTGAAAATCGTTTTTCGAGGAGGTGGTGATTGGGAGTAAGATACTCCCATACTGTTCGGGTAACCAAAATTTTTTCTCATCTGAAGCTTGGATTGGTCAGCTCTGGGCCTACAAAGAACTATAAAAGGGTGTATAAAATAACAGTAAGACTTTTAAACCAACAAATAAAGCTCTTGATAATGAGAACTCTCAGGAAACCTCTAACCCGGGTACGCTGTTAAGGACAGGTCAACTTGTTGGTGATTCTGAGAAGAATCCCAATTCTGTTATTAGAGACCCTGATAAAAGTCTCAAAAAGGAGGTGGAGAAAACTGGTATTGTCTCTTTCAAGGCAGCGGCTAGAAAGGATGTAGAAATTGGTAAAAGTTTGGGTTTGTTTTTCTGGGGAGGTGAGGAATTCGCCATAAAAGCTTCGAAGAGTTTGAGAGGAAGAAGGAAGAAAAATCGAGAAAAGGGGTAACTGGAGGAGGGAGATGGGATGAAGATGGCAACAACCAAGAGGAGGTTTTTGTTGGAGAAGATTAGTTTTCTCTCTTCTGTTAGTTTCTTCTTTGCTCGTTTGCAGTTGTCCTTTTTGTTTTTGGTCTAGTATTGGGTGCCGGAGGACTTAGTTTTGTTGTTCTTTTACAGAGTCTTTGTTGGTTGTTATCTAGTGTAAGAACTAAAAAGTGTCTAAGTTAGTCTCATCTTCTCTCAGGTGATTTCTTATCACCTTCCTCTGTAATTCCTTTTATTTTAATGAATTTTCTCTTTACTTTTCAAAAAAAAAAAAAAGATAAAAGAACAAAGACACTTAAATTCCATAGAAGTATGCAGTGTTAAATAGACAACTAATACAAGTACGAACCATATGTTTTTTAATAAGGTTGTCTCTTTCTTGCTCAGAAATCTCAGCAATATGCAAAATTGAACTTTGAAGCACCACTAATCCCATTTCATTCCCGGACTTTCTACTACCGTGCATTGCCATACATACTGCAAAAATTGGCACAAAATGGTCGTTTGCAAGAGCTGCCAATGGTTGATGAGCAATCTGTTTTCAAATAAGCATATTAGATAAACTGAAACATACAACAAAAAAGGTGAAACAAGGATAGGATAAGAAGTACAATATAATCAACTTGGTATCCGCTATTACCAAAATTTTGTCCCACTATCAACATATATATATATATATATGCAAGACAACTTCAACAGTCCATTAGTAGTCTTCTAAAATTGATTAATCATGTTGTTCACATAACAGACATCTAAATTAATATAGTTGTAAATGGTATTCACAGCCTTCAAATCGAACAGAAAAGAGAGAAAGGGAAGTGACAAAAAAGAAACAAAGAAACAAGAGAAGGAGAAGAAAAATAGAGAAAAAAAAAATAATAGCATAGTGTCTCCCCTGGCAATGACAACTAAACAGGGGCAGACATGTAACTCTATCTTTATAACATAAAATAAGATGCAATGACAACTATGCCCTGTTTACACACCTCTCAATAACTTTAAAAAGGTATTGAATAAAGAGTGCTGTTAATGTACTCTAGATCCACTACCCACAAGAAACTACAGCCACAAATTGGGAACATTTTAGTTGTCATTCATGGTGAGATAATCCCAATGTGTGCTCTAGTGTCTTGTGGGTACATATGGATAGCATCCATGAGGATAGCAGATCCCATCTTCTGTGAAAATATTTCTAATCAACCCCTCCTGRCCTTACTGGATTCCAAATTGTGCCTCCACTTCTGGAACTAAGATATCACCAAATCTTGGCTCGAGTAGAAATTACATAGGGCTAAAAGCATACTTCTTCAGACCAAAACTCATTAATATGGGCTTTCTGCATGGAAATCTCATTCATTGGAATCTTTTAATAAAAATAAAAATCTTCAAAAATAATGTTATTCCTTTCTAATGGGCATATGACAGACTATTTCCTTTAAAAAGTTTTCTCTTTGGAACCAAGAGACCTCAGGAAGTTTCTAGCAAGCTACTATGATCCATAAAAGGATTCTATAGTTATATGAACAGAAAAAGCTTTCCATAAGAAGTGTAAATTTTTCATTAAAATAAAAGAAAACATAAATAAAGTTTAGAGCAAACTTCAAGACCAAAAGACCAAGGGCATCAGTCTATGGGACTACAAAATATAACTCATCCAAAAGTATTGCCAATAGAAACCCAATTGTAGATCTTAACATTCTAGGTTAGTTATGCACCAGTAATAAAGAAGAGAACCTATAAGCACACACAACCATCTCACTTGTTCAGAATTGCCATCAAATATGCATCTATTCCTATTTCTTTTTGAAATGTTTCTGTTAGAGTAGCTAGCATGTGGGTGTTGCCTTAACACCTGAATAGGATGTAATATTTTTATTTTTTTAATGAAAATTTATTTTATTTTTACTATCAAAAAAATTCCTATTTAATTTTTTTTGATGAATAAAGAAATTTTTATTACTTCAAAACTTGATAGAGAACTTTAAACTCAAACAACAGCCCTTGGAGAGGCACCAGCAGCAGCCTCTCCCAACAGATTACAAGGAAACTAGAAAGAAAAAACAAGCATGACAGCTGACCCCAAAACAACACTTCCCTATTTACCCCTTGCTTAGCTAAACCATCAGCCAAAGCATTTGATGACCTCACCCCCCATTTTATAAAAACCGAAACATTCCTTGTCAGCCACATAAATTTCTTGATTTCATTCCTGAAACATCACACAGTATCCTTGGGGTTCATCAACCCAGTTGATTTACAAATTGCACACCTTATAAGGCTGCTAGTAGTTCTGCCCTGACTGAATCCCCAAATCTAAAGGGATCCAAGTAGAGAAGTACAATCTCTCCAAACTCGTTTCTCAACCCGCCCCCCAAATCCAGAACGCCCTGGTTTTATGTTAAGACTGGCTTAGATAGTAACAAATATCTTTTAAAGAGTCACTCCACCATTTTGATTCTGCATTTACCCCTACTTTAGTTTCATCAATTAAACTAGGTATAATCTGGGATCATGCTAGCACGCCACACTTAAAAAGGTTCTTGGGCCCCATCCTAACCTACACACTTTGTCTTTAGTCCATCTTACGGCCCAAACTAAACCAAAGATTGATGCATGAACCCACACCATATAAGTAGTAGCAAGACAAGCAAGTTATGAAACCAACCCAATCTTATAACAGCTTCATGAAATCCTTGACTTGATACCTATTTTAAATCTCAAATCAGGTAGGCCCAAAATAATTAGCTCTGTTACATTTGATGAAAGGTACTTTTTTTCTTGATAAATATTTGATGAGAGGTAATTGCTACCTACCTTTTCATTCTTTTTAGAATGAATGGTGATTTTATTAATTAGAGTAAGAAAGAGTACAATCTCCCAAAGAAGAGGCACAAGATGTCACTTCCCCTTAGGAAAGAGATCAAACCAAACTCTCATCAGAATACAATTATAAGATAGCCCAATACAAAGAAACCCAAGAAGCCCCTTGTTTAGCCAAAGAACCTGCCAAGGCATTTGCCAATCTACTAACCCACTAAAAGTCTAAAACGCGGCTGACATATTCCTTGTAAGCCACTTAACTTTTCAAAAAAGATTCATATAGCCCCAAATAATTGTATCCAGATCCAACCACCAACCCACTACTATCTAAGAATCTCCCTCAACTATCAAATTTTCAATTCTAAGTTGGTTGGCAATCTGTAATCTTTGTACAGCAGCTAGTACCTCAGCCTTTATAGAGTTGCCAACTCCCACTGGACCTGAAAATAAGGATAGAATGTTGCTATCCTTATCCCTCAAGATCCCTCCTACACCTGAAGGTCCTGGATCGCCTTGACTACTACCATCAAAATTCAGCTTTACAGCACCCTCAGAAGGGGGTATCCAGTTTTCTTGTATTCTGTTCTTTCTAGAGGTTGTGGAGGCCACATCTGCTCAAGTCCTTTGAAAATCATCATAGGAGTAATTCACAAAAAGGTCCAAAGTTTTCAGCCAAAGAATTACCCTTGTCAATATACATTCATTTACTTCAACAAAAGTTTTCAGCCAAAGAATTGCCCTTGCCAATATACACTCATTTACTTCAACAAGGCTTCTTTCCTTTTTCTTGGAATGTTCTAGGATTCCTCTCCTCCCCAATAGCCCATAAAATGGCTGCTCTGATACATTCCCACATTTAGTTTCCCTCTCTTGGTTGGCCACCCATAAAATGGCTGCTCTGATAAAAAACCAATTCCAAATATTTGCAGCAAATTAGAAAAAAATCAGTAAATGGCAATAGTCCTCATTCTGCAATTTACAGAGTACACCGGTTTGGGGGCAAACACAAATAAGGTTTCTTCTTTTGCAAGGTACCCATAGTATTAATCTTACAACATTAAACTTCCTAGCAAAAAACAGTTATTTTAGGTGGAATAGGCCTTGAACAAATTTCTTTAACTAGGAACGCCCAATTGGAAAGAGTGGAACAAAGAGATTTGAAGGGGGCACAAATAAAGGAGCCACTCGGATCCAAAGTTCAAATTCTTCAATCAGGTTTAAAGAAGTCCAAATAAACAAAAGCCGATAGATGTAAAAGCTCAGAGACACAAGCTTATTCCCCATCCCTCAAACCTCTACAAAACCCGAATTCCCAATTTAAAGTCAATGGGTGAACTGGAGGAGAAAAGGTTCCTTTCTGTAGAGGAAATAGAGTAAAGGGAGGGGAAATAGACTTTCAGGCCCCGTTCGTTTGTAGGTAAATATGCATGGGAAAGTTGGTCAATGAGTAACTTTTTTCCATTGACCAACATCCCCATGTTCTTTTTGCATTAAGCAATGGGTCCCACAGTAAAGCTACCCTTACTTTCCTGGGTAAAACTTACCCATCTCCCAGGTGGGTCCCACAGTAACTTTCCCACCTAGGAGAAAATTTTACAAAACATGATGGTACCATTTTACCCATTTTAATAGTTATTTTTTGTGGGTAAAAATGTCATTTTATTATTTACTTGGGAATCTGAAAATCAAAAGAACATGGGTAAGTGCATTCACCCAGGTAAATGTTACCTAGAAAACAATTACCTGGGTAAGTGCACTTACCCAGGTAAGCTGCACTGTTACAAATGAACAAGGCCTTAGAGGTTGAGTACCCACCCAAACATCTTCCCAAAAGATATCAGAATTACTAGAGCAAACATCATACCTTACAAACCTGAAGAAAAAGGGAGGAGAAACGGTCTTTTAGAGGTAGAGTACCCACCCCAACACCTTCCCAAAAGAGATCAGAATTATTAGAGCAAACACCATACCATACAAAATAGCCATGGATACTAGCCACTACCTCATATTATATCCAATAAAATTCATTTTTTATGGCAATACGCATATATTTTTTTTTCTTCTATTGAAACTATCCTAGACATACTACTCTTAGATACTAATGTCCATAATGAAACCCTACATTTCTTGAATAGAAATCCCAAACCCTGAAGATATAGACGTTAAGGTCCAACAATTTAGTAACCCTTAGTTTCAATTAGGAAAGAAAATATCGAAAAATATGATAAACTGAAGTTCAATACTCCTACCGAAGAAACAAGCTTCAGATTTGTGTTGTCCCCACTAAGAAGTAGAGCTGGAAGAACCCAAGGGCAACAATATTGCATGAAGAAATTAGGTTCCTCGATAGAAACAAAAAGATCTCGTACCTGCAAAGAAAGTAAAATGGCAGATTAAATAAAATTCTAATAATCAAGAAGACTTTATAAAAGAACATAGACATACAAAAAGCTAGACCTTTTGAACACAAACAAAAGAAATAGAAGATCATTACACAACACAAACTTGAAAAAGAGACTACATGAAGAAAAATAATGAATTCAGAACAAGTCTAGCTAAGCTAATAATGATATCTATTATATAAGGTGGTTTCAAAGTCTACCTAAGCTCTATGGCTTTTACAGACAACAGCAATGCTCAACTTTCAAATAGGAGGCAGATTCTTGGCAAGACTGCTTGCCATTTTTTGGTTTGATAGGTAACTTTAAACTTTATTGATTAAAGAAAGAATAAATATACATATATCGGTGCCAAGCTCCCCAATATATTAGGCCAACTCAAGCCAACTGCCCTATCTTCCAAGATGCAATACATATTTCCCCAAAAACAGCTGTCCCCTATTTATTCCTAGTTTTGACAATGCATCGGCTACTCCATTTGCAGACCTATGAACCCAAGAAATCGTAATGTTCATTGCGCTTGCTAAATGTCTTTTCTCCCTCATAATATTACTGAATTCAGATAGAGATAGGGCTGCAAAAGAGCCAGACCAAGTTCAAATAGAGGTATATCTAAATCCAAAGCAATGAGAATCTGAGAGATCCAAATTCAATCCAGTATCTGACAGATTTGTAAAACTAGATTTGAAAAAATATATATACTATACATTAAATATAAAATTAGCATAAAATTATAAAGTTAAATAAAAACAAAAATGTATACTATAAATGGAAACAATAAGTTTACCAAAATCCTCAAGTCCAACTAAATTTTAAAGAATTTCAATTCTAGAAAATAATATTATATATGTATACATAGAGTATGGATTGGATCCTTTGATCAGATAAAGCATCACCTGAATTCAATCTGATTAATAAATAGATCATACTTTCAGATCCAATTTCAATCAATATTGATTATATATCTGAATCTGACTTTAACAAATCAGTTTTGAACCCTAATCAGATTAAACCTGATCCATTTGCAGCTCTACCCACAACCATTCTAGAATCCCCTTCCACCACCAAGCTCCTAAAGTTTGGTGGCCTGACCAGCCACAAACTCTGTAGGGAAGACAACAGTTCTACTCTTATCGATGTAGCAACTCCTACGAGTCAAGACAAAACCGCTAATATATATCCTTGTCCATCTGTAAATAATCTTCCAATACTGAAGGACCTAGATTGCACAAGCTAAACCACACTGAGTTCAGTTTGACTTGGTGAACATTTCGTGAATCCATAGTGCTGAAAGTACATTTCTTGTTGAAGATAAAGATGTTATCCAATGCCACACCATATATATGGCATCAAAAATGTCAAGAGTTTTAACCACAAAGCTTTAGCAATTTGTGGTTGCATACATCAAGTTATCAACCACAAAGTCTGGCAATTTGTGGTTGCATATTATGTCTAATATGCTATTACATTGCTTCTAAGCCTACACCAGTGACTGCATTCCTTGTTTCTTGTACTCTCTAGTGTTGATCTTCCTACCCACCATGGACCTACCAAATCACAGATGCCTTATGATGTAATACCAATTAAAGCAAAAAAATCCCTTCCGTGCACTAATAAGCCTAAGCCACAAGTATTTAACTAGTACGCAAAAGAAGAAAAGCAAGGAAACTCCACTGTAGCTGCCAGCTATGGTAGAAAGTAGAGAGAACTCTTAATTGGAAAATCTGAAACATAACAGTAGACTAAGAGAACTTTCTTTTTGATAAGTACATTAAGATTTCATTAATAGAAGAATAAAGCAGTTACAAGCTCCATGGAGAGGCACGAGCCGCGACCTCACCTAACATCAGGAAAAAAACAAAAAACAGATTCAGTTTACAGTTGAGCCCAATACAATCTTTCCCTATTTACCCCTTGCTTTGCAAGACCATCAGCCATAGAGCTTTCTGATCTCCCCACCCATTGTATTCTCACTGTCAAACTCCTTATCAGCCAACTGAATTTTTTAATTTCATTCTTAAAGCACCACACTATAAAATCCGGGTTTTGTAGCCAACCCACTACCACTTTGGAGTCCCCTTCTATTAGAAATTGTCCCACACCTATCTGCACCGCTAGTTGTACTCTCTGGATAGCAGCTAGAAGTTCAGCCCTAGTAGAGTTTCCAACTCCTATGAGGCCCGAGTAAATAAGAACCACATTCCCAGACACATTCCTTAGTACCCCTCCCACCTTTGATCGGCCTGGATTACCAAGACTACTACCACCAATATTCAGCTTCAAGAAGCTTACAAGAGGGGGTTCCCACCCCAAACTCACTCTAGCCTTTAAGGGTGAACAAATTGCCACTGCTAACCAATTCCTCCAAATGTCATTAAATGAGAATTGATGGTATAGGTCCAATGATTTTAGCCACAAGATCACCCTATTTAGGATGCACTCCATCAGATCTTCTAGGCTTCTTTTCTTCTCTTGGAAAATTCTGGTATTTCTCTCTTCCCACACTGACCAAATCAGCGCTGCTCTTGCACACCTCCACATAGATCTTCCTCTTCTATGACACCAAGGGAAGAAAGAAGGATAAAAAATCAAACTTGCATCAGCTGGCCTAATCCACCTGCACCCAAACAATGAGAAGAGCCACACCCATAACTATGCAGTAAATGAACAAGATATTAGTAAATGATTACAGTCCTCACCATGTGACCTGCAAAGAATACACCAAAAAGGTGAGATGCACAGAAAAGGCCTTCTTTTTGTAGAATATCCAAGGTGATTATTTTCCCATAATACACTTCCCAACAAAAAGCTATACCTTAGGGGGAACAGGCCTACACCATATTTCCGTAAGAGGAAAAGGTTGGTTGGGGGCAGATTGAGTAAGGGATTTAAAGAAAGAAGCACAAGAGAAAGACCCATTCAGCTTGGGTGTCCAAATCTGTTTATCAAGTTCAAAGGGATCTAGGCACACTGTATCAAGTAGGCTTATCAAATTTGTTAGACACACAACTTCCTCTTCCCTTAAACCTCTACGGAACCCAAAATCCCAATTTGGTGCCAGCGGATTAATCATAAGGGATGTTAGAGTCGACAGTACAGGGGTATTTTGGTCTTTTGTCTATCTAATTAAAAGTGAATGGTCTGTTTTATTCAAGTTTAAGTTATATGTCCCATCTCTAATAAGGGACAATACTGTCTTTTGTAATTCAGCTTATACATTATAAATACAAAGTGGGTCAGCTGGGCGGAGTGGCTTTTTCTCTCCTGGCCGAACCCTTCTTCTTACATACTTCGAACCTAGAACTGAATAGGACTTATCTACCTATTTACATGGTATCAGAACAATAAGAAACCAGTTCTTTTTTTTCTTTTCTCATCGCCCTTCGTCTTCCTGGGATCGCCGCTAGCCATATCAGTTTTTTTTAAATATTTCCTTGACAGATTGGAAGTTCGATAAGGAGCCAAAAAGGAGTGGTCGTTTTTTGTTCTTGGAGGTAAATATGCCTCCAGTTGCTGTGGTGGTGATCGTTGTGGTGGTGTACTAGATATCCTCTATTCAATGGTACGAAGAGGGCTGGTTGTGGACAGGTGTGAACAGAAATACCTATTCGGCTAGTAGTGGACTGCGTCTGTTTTCTTTTGGTCTGGATTTCACATATGTGCCAGTGTGAATTGATAGGTATGCATATGAGCCTCTTTTCCTTCTGTTTATACCTGGATATGTGAGTTGAAAGTAGGGTTTTCGAATGCTGAATTCATGACAGCAGTAGTGTGGTCATAATTATACTTTGTTGAGTAGTGTGTGGTGTGGTGCTGAATAGTAGAAGGTGACTACTTTGTTTATAATAGTGATTCCTTTGTGAAGTGAGGTGAATCAATTAAGATGGCATCAACTGGAGATGGGAGTGACAATAAAACAAGTGTTATGATTTCTCCATATTACTTAAATGTTCAAATGACATCTATTAAGTTGAATGGTGAGAACTATGTGCCGTGGGCCAAATCTGTGGAGGTGTTTTAAAAGCCAAGAAAAAGGTAAAACATGTGAGAGAGGAGAAACCCCCCTCTGATTCTCTAGGGTTTAGTGATTGGGAACAGGAGGATGCACAAATTATGACCTGGTTGTGGAATAGCATGGAACCTAAAATCAGTGTGAATCTTATGTTCCTAGATACAGCTAAAGAAATCTAGGACCATGCTAAGAAACTTTATTCCAGCCAAGATAATACCACTAGAGTATATCAGTTTTACCAAGAGTACTTTAATCTGAAGCAAGGTAACCAAAGCTTGGAGGAACACTATGCAAGCATGAGAAATATCCGTAATGAGATTAATGTATACCATCATCTGACATCGGATGTTCAGGTTCAGCAACAACAGTGAGAGCAACTTGATGTGACAAGGTTTCTAGTGGGTCTGAAGGCTGAATATGAACCTATTCGAGCACAAATACTATGGGGGTCTGCTCTCCCCTCTCTTGAAGAAGTGCTTGCCCATCTTCAGAGGATATCTATTGATTCTACAAAGTCTTCTTCTCTCTCGAACAGATATGGTTTTGTGGTGACTACAGGGGGAGGTCGTGGAAATAGAGGTGGTGGAAGTGAAGGCCGTGGATTTCCAAGAAATCGAGGAGGTCCTACGTTTAATCGTTCTAGTGGCCGCAGTGGAGGTTGAGAGTCAGGGGGAGGTTGTGGTAGAGGAAGAGGTAATGCAACTAGAAAATGCACATACTATGGATTAGAAGGGCACACTGTTACTGTTATGATTTACATGGTACACCCAACACTTGGGCTAACCATGTTGTGACTAGTGGCAGTGGTACAGTTAGAGAAAACCAACAAACCGATCAGACTCCCTCCACATCTACTAGTGCTTCTGGGAAGGAGATGGTGAGCGTACCACGTGAGGTATATGAAAAGTTCATTCAAACATCCTCTCAGCAAAATACAATTACTCTTGCCCATTCAGGT